ACGTTTATATTTCCAGTTCAGATAAAACACTACGTGACAAATCCTACAAAAAAGCTCTAGACTTAATAAATGAGGCACATCAAAAGGATTTCCTTACAATAATTCTTGGAGATTTTAACGCTGATCAATCACGACCTTCCAATCCTTTGAACTCAAAAGCCTTCTTCACATCGCTCGATAATCTCCACATGGTTAACAATTTAGATCTCGTAAAGAATCAGAAGTCGTACGATGATCTCATTACATATGAAACAAGCACCGGACATTTTACGATAGACCACATTTTTATACACTCTTCATTAATTCCTGACCTTATAGACCAGACAGTAGAAAAGGTCGACAAAGATTTATCAGATCACACCATCGTAGTAGCAACTCTCTCCTCAACAATTATTAAACTGTCTTTTACTCAAAGTACTGCAATGAAAAAGCTAGTTTTTCGATACGACGAAATATCTGAAGATGCATGGTCTGCTTTTGGAACTTCAGTTGACCATCGATGCAAACACACTAGATTTAACAACTTATTCCTGGATAACATACACACAATTCACCATTTGAACTATTATTGGGATCTCCTACAAAAATCTATTACAGACGTTGCCACTAAAACCATTCCTAATAAACAGACTTCACATTACACCTGTGATCTCAGACCACGTATTCTTAAACTGACCTATAAGCATATCAAATTACTTCAAAAACTTTGCAAAACTAGTGACAAATACATCAAGGATAACGCTATAGACCCAAAATGGATTACCTGGTATAAAAAAATACAGACCTTCTCAACTGAATATGCGATAACACTTTCAGACAATAGTCAACCTTCGTTACAAAACCTTAAGGAGATTCGTCCCTTATTAACCGATCTTCAAAAAATCCTATACATCGCTGCAAAATTAAATGAAGCTAAATTTAAATCCAAAGCCATCAACGATATCATCAAAAAATGTTGTAATAACTTTGTAGATGATCAAACATCTATGTTTGATTCATTACTAGATCGTCTTCACACTACCATTACACTAGACAGATGCATAAACAACAACAGCCCTGATAAAGAACTCCTCACGGATCCTGAAGATGTTCAAAATGAAATGGCAAAATACTTTCAAAGAGTGGTTGGCTCACAATATTCTAACCCATCTCTCCCTGAGGTTTGGGAACAAGTCTATATGCCAGATGAATCAATCGATCCTACAATATACCACTCCATTATGCAACCCCTTTCAGAGGAAGAATGGCACACAATCATTAGGGCGCTCCCTAATAGAAAAGCTTCTGGACCATCTAAGATTTCCAATGAGATGTTAAAATACCTCAGGCCCTTCGCAGCTAAATGTTTCTGGATTGTAATTTGCAGATGCCTGACGCTTAATCTAGCACCTAGCAGATGGAATCTGGTGTTTATATATCCAATACCCAAGCCAAAACCCTGAGAATATAATTTAACTAACACACGACCAATTACATTACTCGAATGCCTACGAAAAGCTCTAACAAATTAATTAATGGTCGACTATTAAATGTTTTGTCTATCAACAACATTCTCAAAGGGAACAATTTCGCTGGTCTGCC